GAAGATTATTTTAGCTAATCCGCTAACTTACCCATGTTCCATGAGACTCGAGGAGCATTGGTCTCTGCAGTGCGGATAGAGATGTGCATTAAGATAGGATGACTCGGCACAAATGAGCCATCGATGGCCTGAAACTCCACCTGGACAACAGATGAAGTAAAAAACAACATAAATGAAGTTAAATTTGATTAAATTAGACATTATTTTTTGAGATATAGAGATAATCCTGTTTAGAGGTCCATGCCATCAAAAAGTTTGAAAACCCCTGGGCTAGACTAATAGACATGGTTTTTGGATAAGGGAAAAATAATTAAAAAAAAACAAACATTTGCCTGTAAAAACATTACATTGCCATGTACAGCGAGTACAACAATTTATAGGCACTCACTAACCTCATAGTTCCTCCTGGCTGTGTGACTGCTGTTTGGGGGCTGATAGGCAATTTTCATCTCATTCAGGTCTTGCCATGAGAAGGAGAATGCAGTTTTGGTGTGATCATCCAAATGAGTTATATATCCCTCCGCTGGAGGTTTGGTCACATTGAAGATCAGCCGGGCCTGAGGGGTCTCGTCATCTTTTGCATCCAGGGCAGCAGTGGTCATGGGTGTGAGGATGAACTGATCTACCTCCAGGATGAATGTAGACATGAAGGCAGCACTGGGGGGTTGGTTCTGCATGGCCCCCTGGATCAGTACAGGTATCCAGATACTCTCAGTCTAAGAGAAAGGAAAGGAAAGAAAGGATTCAGTGGCTTGTGTTATGTTTTCATACAAACTGATTCTGATGTGTTTTACCTCCAGCATGGCTCGGGAGGTCTGGTCCCTAAACTCCACCCTGATTGGGATATAATCAATCTCAGGTGATGGAGGACTGAGGTGCTGGTACCTCAGACCTGAAGTGAGGAACTCGGCGCAGTCGGTCTTCAAGAACTCTACTTCTCTTGTGTTGTGGTCACAGGCTTTATTTCCTGGGCAGGTGATTCCAGTATGACGTCCTTGAAAAGTTTGAATGCAGATGAGAAATTCTTAGAAATATATTCTTTGTATTCATTTTTTTTTTAAATTATTCCACATTCAAGAAAAAAAGTCATGTGGTGTAACCATTATTTTCAAAAAAAGTTTTCAAAACTATTTTTATTTTTAGGGTGTCACAGCACATGACATTATATCCGTATACATCATAATCGTTTTCAAAAAAAGTTTTTTAATCTACTTTTTCCAAGGTAAAAAAATATGTTTTACAAATATAATGAATTCATAACAATTCATAAAAATTATGTTTTTAGGGTGACACACCACATTACATTATTTCTCTATAGCCTACATTTACATTTTTTTTTTAATAATTTTTTTCCAAGGTAAAAAGTTATATAATGAATTATTAATTCATAATAATAATGTTTTATGGGTGTTGTACCTCATGACATTTTACAATATGTACTAAATTTGCCTTGTCATAAAAAGGTCAAATTATTTGATGTTTTAAGAGACTTATTGACCTTAACACCCAGTCATGAAGGTCCTGTTTCTTTTCTACACCTTGGTTGCACAGCATGATTTAGTTGGTTTTACCACATGACTGTTAATTGATGCACAAAAGCTTTTAAAAAGCTTCATTATACACTTGGTATACCTTTTCTCGGTCCAGGCTCAGAAGCCGGCATTGATTCAGGATCCTCAGTGACCAGTTGACCAAGCATTGGGATGTTGATCTCAGAGCTGACAAGACGTACAGTGCAGATCACTTCGGGCTGGTTTTTAAAGGTAAGGACACTGCTATTGATGGCATTGGAAAGGCTGTAGAACTCAGAAACCACTAGAGGAACATTTCCAAGCTCTGTGAGGCTCCTTTGAGGTTCCACCACATGAACCTTTAGCAGCACAGTCTCAACAAAAGTCTCGGTTTCTGTAAACCTAAGAACAGGCATAGAACCCATCCTCATTTGTGAGGATGGAAATTACATTAGGCCAAGGAAATAGGATTTTTGCAGCTCTCAAAAGCCCTAATTAAAGTAACAGCCATAAAATGTTGGTGCTGGACAAGAATAATGACCACATAATGTTTCACCTGTAGACCCTCAGCATGACAGTGTCCTCTTTTAGAAGTGGGCTGCCATTGTGAACATACTTCACCTCATCCGGAAAGAACTGGCAGTCAAAAACCTGAAAAATGATAAATGAACAATTATTCTCACATTTTATGGAATGCATAAGCTAATTCTGGATTTGTTTTGTTACCTGAGGAGTGAGTTTCCCCACTCTTTGTGTGATGGGTTCAGTGAGCACTACTTCAACTTTACAGGCCTCAGATACCCCATCCGTGTGGAACTGAAGTTCACCAGCTGTGACAAATACTGACTGGCCTCTGGCTACCCGAAGCCCTGTGTTTAACCGAACTACACTTGAAGCTTGGACATGTGGCCACAGGTGACTCAAGGTGAACACTGTCAAAGCAAAGATGTTCACCCCCATCTTTTTGTTCAGTTGCTTGGTTTCCAAGATTATTCTCTTCAGATGAACTGTCTTGCTCTCATTTCCAACAGTATGCTGCATGAAAATGAGGAATGAGAAAAATAAACCAACAAAGTAGTATTAAAAACGGCAAATCTTAGATTCATGAATATTTAAGAACAATATTAGACTACAAAGGTGACCTAAAACTGCCCAATTGGACCTGGTCAGAAATTTGGGCATGTCCACGAATGGTTCGTTAATTGAAATAAAGCTGAAATAAAATAAAATTAAATATAAAAGATTAAAAAACATAAACATAAAATTAAATTAAAATGTAAAAAAAATCTTTATTGGCAACTAACTGAACTAAAAAAAGTTGAAGTTGAAGTACTAAAACTAAAAGCTGAAATAAAAATAAATTAAAGCTAAAAAGAAATGTATAAACCCAAAAACTAATAAAAATGACAAGCACATGACAAATTACAAATAATAAAATATAAACTAAAAACTGAAATAAATAAAGCTATATATAAATAAAGCTGAATATAAATATTAAACAATGACAAAAGCACATAACAGTATTACTAGACAAACTAAAATTGTTAATGAAAATGAAACATTAGAATAAAAATAAATGAAAGTTAAATAGAAATATTTTTAAAAAATGACAAAGCACATAGCAAAATTACTAAAACTTAAACTAAAATGAAAATGAACATGGAAAATATACATAAAAAACTAAATCAATATAGTATATAAATAACTAAATAGTAACATTATATTAATAATACTAAAATTGCACTGCCTCAAAACTAACACAGTCTAAAAGCCTCAAAAGTCAATTTTTAATTACATGGGACTTTTAAACTTATACTCTAAACTAAAATATGTGGGAAAGAAGGGGTTAATCTGCCTCACGCTGCCTTGGTGCTGGAAATGAAATCAAGCATCAAAAGAGCATGTGAACTTCAGTACTGTTGTTGTTGTTGCCTCCTATATATCCAAACACACCACAGGTGCTATCAGCCAAAGGTTTGATCCATGCGAAAAGTTTTGGCCACATCGAGCATTTCATCACTGAATACAATCTTAAATGGGCTGAAGGACAAATGCATACATATCATCATCTGTTCACTCTTACCTCATGGTGCAAACATGCTCTTTCTAAATGGTTTATGTAAATGTTTTGACATTCGAGAGAAGCTTTGAGCGCCGATAATTCATCTAGATATTTGAAACCGGCATGTTTAAACATGACTCAGCATTAACACGGCACACTCGTGATGTTAAAAAACACTAACATGTTCAGACAAATGAAGAAGTAACAGCCTGAACCTCTTGGTAGAACTTTATAGAAGGCTTTTAGAGAAAGTTGGGAACTCATAAACGTGTTAAAAACCTGTAAGAAAAAGGATAGTGAGATTTGCATTTGAATTGAATCCTGTTTTGCAGTGTTTTATCAGTCTAAAACCCATAACTGAGGATGGAGAGAGAAAGAATAACATACCTACAGCTGAATCCACAGTTGGCCTGTAGTTCCTTCAGTGTGTGCAGACTAACAGAACAGCAGAGGTTTACCCTCAACTACCCCCCTGCTGAAGAAAACCACAAAGAACCGTTAGCAAAACACAAACAGAGCCTGAAAGACAGATAAAGAGCAGGAGATAAGAACAAAAGACACTAAAATCATGCCTGTTTGCGTTTGCTTCTCGCGTCCTACCTTGAAGCAGAGCAGCAGAACCCAGCAAAGCAATGGAAAAGACATGAAAAAGGGGAGGAAAAGTTAGATCTCCTCACACAGGAAAAGTGCAGACCAGTTCCTAAGGTTTCTACTTCTCACAAACCCAGATGTTCTTATTCCCAGAAGATGGAAAGACCCTCCTGCTCTGAAAAAAGCAAGAAGGTTAAAAAGATGAAAGAAAAAAAAGACTGGTTTATGAGTTGAGAAAGTGAAATTAGTAACAGCTTTGAATAAGTTTTCAGTTTTTCTTAGAGGCAACTCTGTTTGCTTTGATCTTTTACGGCCCCGCAGCCTTCGTGAAAGGAAATGGAAGTTGCGTTTTGTTGGCTGGGGGAACAGAAGTAACCTTAACACAAATGCAGTCTAGTCGCCGCATTCACCTTCCTCTTGCCCTATTCTGACCCGCGGGACAAAGGCATGCCTCTCCCCTGCTGTGCAACTCTGTTCAACCCCAGACTCATAAATGTGGGCCGGTCACTCTTGTCCACCCCCCCGCTGCCTCTGCATGGGGGTGAGAAACTTGGTTGCCATGCCACTATAGTGGACCGGCTACGCAATTAGAGGTCGGTGTCATCCAGGGAAGTTTTAGCAAAAATGTGAATAAATAAATAGAATAAAATAATATGGAATATTTATGATAATAATTAAATACAGAAATTGATTTTGTGAATAAACACTAAACAAACAAACAAAAAATATGTATATTGTAAAATTAATGTAATTAATAATCATAGAAATGTAATACAGAACAATTAAGAGAGAAAAATACATTAAAAATAAATTTTTGGACATTTTGTAAAACTATAAAAACTATTAAAATTTTATACGCACTAGTGTTCAAAAGTTTGGGGTCAGTAAGATTTATTTTTTTTTTCAAGAAATTAATATTTTTATTCAGCAAGGATGCATTAAATTGATCAAAAATGACAGTAAAGATATTTATAATGTTACAAAAAATACATTTCAAACAAACGCTGTTCTTGTGAACTTCTCTGTTCTCTATTCAGTAAAGAATACTGGAAAAAATGTATCAAAGTTAAAAAAAAAAAATTACTAAGCAGCACAATTCTTTTTCAACATTGATAATAATTAGAAATGTTCAGCAGCAAATCACATTAGAATGATTTTTGAAGGATCGTGTGACACTGAAGACTGCAGTAATGATGCTGAAAATTCAGCTTTGCATCACGGGAATAAATTACATTTTAAAATATATTCAAATAGAACACTGTTATTTAAAATTGTGATGATATTTCACAATACTTTATGGTTTTTGCTGTATTTCCAATCAAATAAATGCAGCCTTGATGAGCATGAAACATAAAAAAAATCTTACCAACCTAACTTTTTTGTAAAATCTGAAATAATTCTAGAATAAATACTAAACAATAAATAAATAAATGTGATAAATATTTATGTATATATATTCTAGAATAAATATAAGAGAAGGTCCCACTAAAATATACATATATTCTGTGTATAAAAACATTTATAATTATTTTTTTGGCAGGTTTGGAACAAATCAATGATTAAGATTTTGCTTAAAGTCTATTTCAGATCTTCTCCTGAACAGCTGAACCTAATTGGTAACTTGATAAGAAGCCCTATATTGACCCAGACACAAGTCAAGATGGCAAAACTACCAGAAAGTGGTAAATCACTAAAAAATGTTGACCATTATATTGATCTAGCAAGTTAGATTTCTTCCAATATCTCCTTCACTATGATCAGTTCTTAACCTACTTTTCCTGTTTTCTTTAGATGTTTATGAGATCCGACAGTGACTGTAGAAGAGCTTACATTCTCATACATATATCAAAAGTCTCTGAAGAACCGGAGAGTTGAAATGGTATAACACATGCTGTAATGAAAATACAACTTGTTGTCCTGCCCTAGTTTGAGCCCTGCATTTCCTGCTTAATGACGTCACCCCTCACTTGCTGGATTCCTTTGAGTAGGCCTCATTTTTGCTTTTTTTGGTGCTTTTTGGCAGGAAAAACTAGTAAACATCCTTTGAGGATTTTAAAATGAAAATTACATAGAAAATATGGTGATTTTTCACTATCTCACTCCCTCTCTCTCTGACTGAGTGGGCGGTTGATTAACAGATCTGAGGCCGCATGCAGACAGAGCTGATGGCGCCGACACGTCGCTTCTAATTAATCCAGTGCTGCATCCAATCAAGAATGTGTTGAGGCATGTTTAACGAGACCGTGACACAAATCGCGGTCACTTGTTTCCAAGTCAGCCCGAGCTGCTGGCTGAAAATACCCTGTCTTCTTGCTTAAAGACAACTAAAGGTGTTTCATGTCCTTATGTTTAGTTCGTTATTATAATGACTTACAGCAAAGACTTAAGCAATGTAATCTGCAGTGGTGTTGTTATTGTTCACTAAAACTATCAAAACCATTTTGGGTAACTGAAATAAATCTGAAATAAAATAAAATAAAACATAAATATTAGATGATAAACTTCAATGAAAATTAGAAATGTTGCCTTGGCACATTTTTGAAGTTGAAATACTAAAATTACTCAAAACTGAAACAAATTAAAGCAATACAGAAAAAAATGACAAAATCACATAACAAAATCACTCAAATTAAAATGAAAACTGACCATATAAAATAGATCATTCAAAATATGAATAAATAATACGATAGTATAAACAGTAAATAATAACAAAATATTTTTTTCCCACATTAATAACTAGGTCCAAATGGAATCTGCAGCAGTGCTGTTATTTTTAACTAAAATTAAAAATTATTTTCAGTAATTGAAATAAAGCTGAAATGAAATAAAAGCAGAAAAATTCCCTTGGCAACTAACTGAAATAAATAAGGTGAAATACTAAAATCATTCAATCTAAAACTGAAATAAATATTAAACTATACAAATTAATTAATAACTATATAATAAATTAAACTATATATAAATTTTATGGGGAAAATAATAAAATTGACAAAAGCACATAACAATACTACTAAAATATAAAATAAAATTAACTGAAAATATAAAAAATAAATATATAAATAATACATATAATATAAAATATTAAAAACAGTGTATAAATAATACTTCTTGAAAAAATGTGTTATTAGTGTAGCTTTATTAGTAGCTGAAATCACAAAATTGAATTGAATTCACAAAAATATTTTGAAATACAAAATTGCAAGGAACATGGGACATGTAAAACTTTGTGAATGATTGTGTGTCAAATCTGCAAAGTATTATGTGAGGATGTTATGTGGACTTGGTAATAGAAAGTGGACCCTAATAG